CAGAAAGTATCACCCATGGATCTCATCCAGAAACAGAATAGGATGCCTGCTCTGATACCAAATGAAATTCTGGTGTATGCCAGTCTTCAGATGTTATACTCAATGTCTAGACATCTGATATGACATAATAAATACACTGCAAGGTAGATACCCAATTTTTGTGATTCAGTACTAAAGTATGACAGAAGCATAGAGGTTGCCATATCTGCAGTTTTCGAACAAGTAGCTTTGGTTTGTACACTATCCATTCATAGCCTGATGTCGCAACATTGGTTGCAACATCATCTATCACATACCATGAAGCAAACAACCCCTTAGTTCTGTTTATCATGCACACAAACCAGCAGGATATCCATTCATCTCTTTTGACATCATCTGTAACATTCACACAGTTTTATCCAAGCTGTACCAAATATACTTTGATGGTGCAGAGGATAGACCACACGATGTACCTAGTTCTGTCCATCTGGTACACATGATCAACAGAGAGCAAACAACCTTCACAGTTCTGTTTCTCCTGCACAGATATCAGCATGATGTCTTAACATGTTCTGAGACATCATCTGTTTCAACATTACAGTTTTACCTTGTTGTATAACAGACAGAATTATAAAGTATTGAAGGTAAAAACACAAATCAGTTGTTGACCCAGTTCGGTGTAATACACCTACTCTGGGGGCATACCAAGCCAGGAAGAAGATCCACTATTAGCAATATTAATTCAGGACTAAACTTCACAAGTTCCCATCCTTCACTTAATCATCTACCCAGTGCAACCTATACCTAGGAACTCCTAGATAGAAACCTACCAGTTTCCATTCCTATTGTCGCAACAACAGAAGTCTTACTTCTGCTCAAGAAGCAGTGCCCTCCCACTTGGTTTCCTACATTACAATGAATATGAAGTAATGCAGAAATACTTAGACTTGCTTCATAGCTTCATCCAAGAACACTCAAACTCTTACCTACAGGTTTCGAGTTACATACATGGTAACCTTGCCACAGACCGACAGGTTTACCTAACAAAAACACCTTCTAATGTTACATTGTGTGTCGCTTAAACCCTAGGTTACAATCTGCTATTTATAACCTATTACCTAACTCAGCAAGTTTTTCTCCTTGCTGTTACAACTCAGCAGCAAACTTCTCCTATAATCAAGGTCTTCAATCTTCTAGTTCCTAAAATACCTCCATATTTAGAAACAGTATTTTCTTCAAATATTCTGATTGATTCTTGATTGATCTTCAGATTCTCCACAAGAAACGCCACATATATTCTCAGAGTATTTAAGTACCAGAACTGTAACTGAATTATCAATTCTGTTGTCGTGATGTCAAGTTAGATGTCATGACATTACATCTAACATGTTTTCCTAGATGTTGAACTTTTTCAACACAACAAATAACCTAGATCACTTAGAATAGTTAGGTTATAAGTCACAGCTGTTACAAACATTCAACATATAACATAGTTACTTAAACAGTACTTAGTTTCAGGCGCAATGTCACATGCTGATGTTGTGACATCTTACATAACATGTAGGTCCAGATGTTGAACTTCTTCAACACCACATATTAAAACAACAGAGGGGATCTGGGTAAACTTACTTTCTTATTTGTTTTACAAATGAGGCCAACTCTCCAGCCAGGGCACTTACAATGTCTACCAATTCCTTTTCCAATAAGGGCAGTTATACTCGAGTAGCCAATTCCCTCTATCTATGTGTGTATTCTTTGAAGGATTCGTTACTCTTATGGGATAAATCTTGCAGTTGCAAGCGACTTGGAGCCATGTCAATTTTGTATTGATAATGCTTCTGAAATGCCAAATCAAAGTCATTCCAGGTGGGAACATGGTTTCTTTCCAATTGTGTATACCATTCCAATGATGCTCCACTAAGACTGACTTGAAAATAGTGGATAAGCAATTTGTCATTGCGTGGTTATGCTGCCATTTTCCTAACATACATCTTCAAATGGGTCTTAGGACCACTAGACCCTTCGAACTTTTCAAAATTTGGAATCTTAAACTTAGGAGTAAATACCATGTCTTCAACCAAACATAAAGCAGAAACATCAAAGTTATGGGTGTCCTATCCTTCTATGGCGCTAAGCCTTTTTTCCAGCATGCGGTATCTTTTGGTGTCCTCAGCATCTTGTGGCTCTTCAGTATTCATGGTCAAGCTCGACCCTTGGGTTTTCGGCACAGGGAATTCAAATTGATGATACCCAATAGATTCATGGGATGGAGTATACCCATATTTGAAAATGGTGTGTTCTTGCACATCAAGGTTCTTAATTGAAGCTTTTATAGGTCGGGGTTGAGCCTGAGTGTTTTCTTGAAGGGTAATGATATCTTCAATTATGGCTTTTTTACCTTCTCTAATTTCCATAACTAACGTTATGTTTGCTTCGTGAGTTGTCTCAAGTCCGTTCTGAGTATCTGGGAATCACCTTGTTGGACTATGGTTGGAAGTTTTCTGCGAGTGGAAGAGATATGAGTTTTATGCATGCGGATGAAGAATGAAAATGTATGAAGATGCTTGGGTATGCAAAAACATTTTTTGCTTTTAGGTATGCAAGAAGTTTCATGGATATGTAATGCGACGTGGACGTAGTATGATGGTAGACATAGGGGTACCCTATACAAGTTTAATAATGGGTGCGATGATACCCTACACTGACTTAGAAATTGAGACAGGAAGAAACTCCTTAAGGATGAAGGTAATAATAGATATGGATTTGATAATATCCTACATTATCTCAGAAATTGAGATAGGCAGGAATTACTTAAGGTTTATGGCTAATGAAAGACGACGAGGAGTCCCTACAGGATAGGGAATACAACATAGACGGAAGCCATACGGGCTGGAGGTAGTAGTAGAAGAAAAGACAACCCTTACGGGTTTACAGGTTATAGTGGGATCTATGAAAGATATCCTTAGAAGGTAGGTTCTTAGTATTGGCCTATGGATATTCTACCCTCCCATAAGGTGGTTTCCTTAAGGGTATCAGGAATAACACTAGAGGGAAAGGCACAAGAGCCTGCCTTAAGCGAAGTCTCTTCATAGATTGAAACTTTCGTCTCTAGGTCATGAAAGGTCTCATCATGAGTTTATGGTTTAAAGTTCGTACAAAGAGTCATAGGTGTCATTCCAAAGTCCTACTTCCAAAGAGCATGTCTCTAGAGAGGTTTTCCTTTTGCAGAATTCCACTGACTCTAGGCAAAGTTGTCGCATAAACTCATAGGGTTGATGTAACCCCTTGGCTAATAGACAAACCTTCTTTCTAAGGGTTTTTGAAAATATTTTTTGCAAAGTTTTTAAATCCCACCACAGATATAATAATATGATAAAAAATAATAAGCAAAATAAATGAATAAATAAATAAAGAAAAATAAAGAAAAAACAAAAAAAAAAGAAAAACCCTAAAACCTAAAGGAAATGCTTCTAAATCTAGGGTTGAATCCCCAGCAGGGTTGTCAGCTGTTGCAACTAGTTTTTAAAATCAGAGTCGTCACCCTTAATTTTTATCCTAAAGGAAGGGAATATAAAGGAATAACCCTAAAGTTCATAGATTCTAGATTTATACTCGGTTCTAGACGAGGGGAAGGTGTTAGGCACCCCTTATCTACCTTGTTCACAAGGATACTAGGTTTAGAAGCGTAATTTTTAAGAAATGGGGTTTTAATGTTTTATTATGGGAAAAGGGGTTTTAATTTTAATTAGGGGAATTCTCCATGATTTTAATCGCATGCCTACGTATCCTCTTAGGAAGAATCAGAGTCTCATTTCGTAATTCGCAGTTTTGTTTGTATTTTTTATGGATCGTAGAAATATTTCGAATTCTCCTTGAACCAAGTTTAAGTTTGAAAAAGCAAAATCGTAGACGTAGCTCGCAGTTTATAAAAAATATTAATACAACCCTTTTTGAAAATGATATAAATTGAAATTGAATAAGTTAGTAGAAAAGTTTTGGTATTTATTGGGTAGTTATTTTTTATTATGTAACGCAATTATAAAAAAAAGATTTGAAATGAAAAAATATGTAGATATAAAAAAAAGGTTAGTATTTTTAGAAATAGTTCAATCAATAAATAAGTATATTATAATTTTATTAAAATATATTAGATATTTTTGATAAAAAGTATTATAATTATTTATTAGAGTGGAAAAATAATTTTTATTTGATAAAAAATAAATAAGTGAATATATAAATAAAAATAATAAAAGAAAAATAAATAAATTAAATTAATTTCGCATGGGGGTGTAAGATTAATTGACATAGTAAAAAGGTGGGGTGTGAATAGCATGGGCCTGAATTCAGATATTGAATTTAGGCCCAAAAAGGCTGGAAGGTGCGTTTTCGTATGCGTTAGCAAAAACAAAATAAAAGGTTGGGTGTGCTAGTAATGGGCCAAGCCCAAGATGATTTGGAGATTCCGTGCGGACTCTGTGTGGGGGGGACACACGGGGATACCATGGACATGCATATGGGTACCATGAGATGGTGATCAAGTAGCTAGGATGGAGGGGAGTATGGTAACGGTTAAAGACGCACGCGCATTGGATTGACTTAGTATTATATTTTCAGTTTACAAAAAAAAACAAATTATTATTTGTTACCTCTCTTCACTCTAACCCTTTCCTCCATTCTATTTCTCTCAACAACGACACAAACACCCGAAACCCTAACTAAAAACTTGACGGCAGCGGCGTTCGCTTCTTCTCCAAACTCCTCAACATTCGAGCCTCAGGAACCGATCTACAACCTTAATCCCCCCCCCCCCCCCCCCCCCCCCCCCCTCTAAAGCATTCATTGACTCACCGGAACAATGATAGAATGCAAGCTAAGTGTTTCATTATCCTCGATTCTGCATTTTACTTTGTTCTCTTCTTTCGATATCTCCTTTTGATCCTTTCTAATTCTCAGTTTGCAGGTAATAACAGATGATGATAATGGATTGAACGACGGTGTGATAGTGAGACCGGAAGAGAGGGATGTCGTCGGAAGCTGGTCGGTGTGATGCGGTGTTATGGTGTGCAATTGTTGTTGTGGATCTGCAGAGGAAGTTGTGCGGTGTCGAAGTTGGTTTCGACGGAAGCTGTCGGTCGTGGTCTTGCTCAAAGGCTTTTCGGAACAGAGTTTTTGGTGAGAGTTACAGTGTTTTCTCTAGAAATTTTTTTCGATCTCCTCCCCCCACTGTAATTATTTTCTTTTTTCTTTTCTCTCCCTTACTGTCACGATTTTCTTTCTTTGTGTAATGTTTGACTTTTGACAGTTTTTTGTTTTCTCCCTTATTGTCATCCCTTCCTCTGTAATTTTCTGTCCTCTTTATAGTTTTGTTAGGAATTAGGTTTAGGAAACAAAGTTATTCGTTTTGATTACTTTGATTTTGATTAGGAAATTGTAATTGTATTGATTCTGTTTTAATTTATAAAATCATGAATTGTAATAAAGTTTGATTCAATTTCTGTATTTGTTTGTTCTATTCTTAGAACGAAATGAAGGCAAAAATCTGATATAATTTCTCTGTATTAATGTGTATTGATTAGTAAATAGTTTGTTTTTGTTTAGGTATGATAATGTTCTGTATTGAATTCATTCTGTAAAAAAAATCGATTATGTCTTCTCAGTCAAGCGCCATCTTTCACAACGGATCTGTACAGTACCTATTTTCTTGGGCCAAGCGCTTTCTAGTTTGTTATTGGGTTGGTTCATTTTTTGGACTGCAAAACAGGCTTTACTTAAGTCAATACTCTTTTTTCCAAATAACAAAAAAATGGTTCTAACTAAGAATAGAGCCTTTTAATGAATTATGACAATCACTTAAAAAAATAATTCTTATAGGACAAAAAATAGTTTAGGATAAAGATTTTGAAACGGGCCCAACATCAAAATCTCTCCTCTTCTCCTTTGCGTAAATGGGCTTACACAATCTAATTATGTTGGGCTTTGCAAATGGATCATAAAAAAAACCTCTTCATCAAAAACAGAAGTCATTTTAAATTAAATGTAATACTTAATAGCTATTGTAACACGGTGGGATAATTGACATGGGATGTTTTGCGTTTGATCGCAATTGTTGCGGGTAGCAAGAGTCGCCACCGAATTTTCTTTTATCCAGTAAGGAAAGGTTGAAAAGAACAGGAAAGACCTTTCGAGATTGTTTCTTGAGTTCGAGGGGGTAGGTTATGAAAAGAGAAGGTGTTAGCACCCTTTTCATCTGTAGTTATCTACGGGCTTGCTTTTTGTTTGAAAAATGTGTTTGTGATATGGGTTTTGGAAGTATTTTGAAAAAGAATGTCTTTATAATGATTCTCATCTCTATAAGAACGCGTACAAAGTGTTTTGTCTTTTGAAAAATGTTTCGAAGTGAAGTGTTAGTGTATAAAATATTTTGTTGTGAGCAAGCGAGCAACTAGGAGTAACCTACCTACTTAAAAGGTCTTAAACATTATTTTCCTCCTCCTTTAGATGTTGTTATCTCACTATTGTTTTGGTAAGAAACCCCATCATTATATGTGAAGGGACGGGCGTGGGACATTTGTATAGTCATAGAAGGCAACCTATGAGACGTTTTAGCAATGTCGTTTTAGGGACTAGATCGTTTACCGAAGGCAACATTGAGGGTCATCGAGGGACTACGATCTTTTATCGAGGGTCTTTGCTAAAATGCTCATGTTCGAGGGATAGGACTATTTTCTGAAAGGCAACAAAGCGGGATTACCCTAAGGGTGCAAGTGTGAATGGTGTGTTTGATTTACATGCATTTAGTCTTGATTAGGATTGTCTATTTGTTGATTTCATGTCTTGCCATACAAACCCTAATTACTAGCATTTATATTTGAAAGCGATAAATTGCGGAATTATAAAGTCATACGCTATTACATCATTTAGGGATGGGGGGTACATATTTACAAATGGGGATTTGCAAGAATTTAATCCTAATCATCTATTACAACCATATCGAATTGTACAATATAAGAAAAGGAAAACACTTGTTTTGAAAATGGTTTTTTGCCTTAATGAATTAGAAAAAAAAGGAATAATTAGTTAATAAAAAGGAAATATTTTTGATGTCTTTTTATATTAATAAAAATAGTTCTAATGTTAAAAATGATAAAAATAAGAGAGAAAAGGGTAAAAATGATGAGAAATAGGATCAGCATGTTGCTGAAAGCAAAACAAAAGGGATCAGAAGTTTTGATGTTAGACGTGCAGTGGTTCAGAATGAAACGTCAGAGGAAATCAGTAGTTCTGGATTGATGCACTCTGAGGTCCTGAAAGAAACGTTAGAGGGAAAAACAGAAGTTCTGGATCGCTGCACGCTGAGTGTCAGGATAGTGAAAAAATCAGAAGTTCTGTGTTATGTTAAACAATGAGTGAAAATCAGAAGTTTTGTGTGTTAAAAGAGTGAGGAGAACTCGGAAGTTTTGTGTTACACTTCAACTCCTCCCTTACATTAATCATCACATCAGCAACTTATTCAATTCTTAACAACAGCAAATCAGAAGGATAAAAGCACAACAAGTTTATATAAGTTCTAATCCTAATTCTGAGCCTAGTTTTATTCGAGAAGTTCTGATCCATGGTTTTTCTTACTTATGCAATGATGTGGACAACATCAATACTATGATATTTACATATTTAATGATGTTCTAAATGAAAGATGCAAATTCATAAAGATTTACCTTGAATCTGAAGCGTATGTTTGGGACTTGAGTTGTTGCCTTCAGATGTTCTGGAGTCAGCAAGAACAACGGAACAGAAAATGATATGTTCTTTGATTCAAAGGGAAGAACAAAGGTTTTGGTTTTGTTTGGGAATTCTGAGTTTACGAATGTTTTACTATTTTCTTTTCTCTCTTTGATAATTCTATCTTTCCAAAAGCCAGCCCCTTGAAAGTGTGATGGAGCAACTTATTCATAGGTGAGTTTGTTGTGGTTTTGGGGGGAAAACAAATGGTGTTTAAACCTTTTTGGCATATTGTTCCATTGCTTTTTAATCACAGCTTTTGTATGCTAATTTGGTGCAAATATGGGGTTTGAGAAAGTGCAGGTGTGGACTGGATCAGCAGCTGATTCCAGGACTGTGTTGTAGCAGTGCAGCAAGCTGCTTAAACGAGGTTTTGGGATTTGGTGATATTCTGATCGCAGAAGACCAGAATGAGACACGAAGGGTGGTGTTCTGACCGGAGCGTTGAACATAGCCTTCATATGATGAAGAATCATGTTCTGGTTGAAGAACACAGTTTCCATATATTCTGATTGACGAGTCATGTTCTGAACCATGTTTGCAAATTCTGTCTGCACTTGTATGGAGGCTGGCCCAGAAGTTCTGAAGTACCATATTCTCTTAACACTTAGAAAATTTTCTAAATGTTTAGAAATTTGATTTTTCAAAGTAATTTCTGACTTTTGACTTCTTGAGGAACCAATTTCATGTCTTGATGAAATATGATTGTTGAAACTTGATTTTTGATCCAAAAGTCAAAGTTTGACTTTTCAGTGTGCATTTGACCATTTTTCCCTTGTGAATGACTCTCTTGGAAAATTGCAGTCCAAGACTTGAAACTTGATAGAAGCAAACCTGAGGGTCTAGGAGGATCCTTTGATAAATGAGATGGCAAATTTTGGGATACAATAGCTGCCCCTGTTCAATCTTCTTAAACCTGAGGAGTTAGATTGGCGAATCTTCCATTCGTGACTTGAAGGTGGAAGATGATTGAACACTAGAGTTCCCGGAAATTTTCACTTGATGATATTATGGTTGAGGTGTAAGGAATGGGCTTAAAGATGCCATTTGGAGAAATAATAGAGAGTCGGTGGAGATGGGCTTATAGGTGCCATCTAGAGGTGATCGTTGCCAGAAATTAGACTAAGTCTAAACTTGACTTCAACTGGGGAAATAATCATAATAAACCTTTGAGAGATTTAAACTGAACCTAGCAAAAGTCTTGAATAATCTTTAACTGGGAAGAATCGGGATAAATTTTGGAGAGATTTATCTGAACCAGAGCAAGTGTCTACTGGGGAAAGAATTAGGATAAACCTTTGAGAGATTTAGACTGAACCAGCAGGGGTATGGAGAAGAATCAGAACAAGCCTTAGAGCGACTTATCTGAACCAGAGAAGATGTTTATAGGAAAGAATCAGGATAAACCATTGAGATATTTAAACTGAACCAGCAGGGGTCTGGAGAAGAATCAGAATAAATCTTGGAGCAATTTATCTGAACCAGAGAAGATGTCTGCGGGAAAGAATCAGGATAAACCGTTGAGAGATTTAAACTGAACCAGTAGGGGTGTGGAAAAGAATCTGAATAAATCTTGGAGCGACTTATCTGAACCAGAGAAAGCATCTGCAGGAAGGAATCGGAATAAACCGTTGAGATTTAAACTGAACCATTAGGGGTCTAGAAAAGAATCAGAATAGATCTTGGAGCAATTTATCTGAACCAGAGAAGACGTATGCGGGAAACAATCAGGATAAACCGTTGAGAGATTTAAATTGAACCAAAAGGGGTCTGGAAAAGAATCAAAATAAATCTTGGTGTGACTTATCTGAACCAGAGAAGGTGTCTGCGGGAAAGAATCAGGATAAACCATTGAGAGATTTAAACTGAACCAGCAGGGGTCTGGAGAAGAAACAGAATAAATCTTGGAGCGAATTATCTGAACCAGAGAAGATGTCTGCATTTCAGAATCAGGATAAACCATTGAGATATTTAAATTGAACTAGCAGGGGTCTGGAAAAGAATCAGAATAAATCTTGGGGAGATTTATTTGAACCAGAGAAGAATTCTGCAGGAAAGAATCAGGATAAATCGTTGAGAGATTTAAACTGAACCAGCGGGAGTCTGAAGAGAGTATTTTTCATGTAGATAATCAATTTAGTCTTGTCTTGAGAATTTATCTAACATCGATTTCTTCACAGATAATTGCCTTGTCTTGTTGAAATTTTTTTATGATAATGTTTTATTGATTGTTCTTTCCTGAAAAGGTAAAGAGTTAGTTGTATGCAATGACATGATGTATAAAATGCATGGCATAATGATGTTTTCTCAAAATAAACGAGATTGTGATATATGCATTTGTGTTGTCGATGTTTATGATGTATGAATGCAAAGTATGCACATGTAAGTTGTTCTACTGCAGTGTTGTTGGATTAGGGAAAATAGATCCCTGGCTGCTGCTGGGAATGAGGAGTGTAAGTCTTCATGTTTTGTTGAAGCTAAAGTGTTGATGGATGGGTTTCCATAA